GCCGATCCGCCCACCTACTTAGTATATATTTATACTGGTGGCGGTGGCTGCACCGCTTTTCAAACGGACGGTCAATAACGCTTGTTTTCGAAAACGAGCCCTTTCTAAAGCCACGCGCTGGACCCCGTTTCTCCTACAACGCGGCACAGCACTCTTCGGATTGAGTATAGACAGCCTCTTTATTTTCCTAACTGACACAGATGGAACTCTCCGAGTGAAAGTAACGCGTTTTAATAGTCGCGTCTCAATCATGTGCTCTAAAAATACACATCCATAAGGAAGAGGCGCCTTTATCCAGAGCCGTGTATAGAGGAGACTGGTCAACGGGAGGCGCGGGCAGAGGCAGGGTGTGCACCAGACGCTGAAAGAGGGCTTAATTGGCAAGCTCTCTTGGCCGACCAGGAGCGGAAAAGAATCCCCTAGCGGTGGTAGTGAGAAATAGTTTTAATCAGAGGTATAGGTTGGTATGTGGCTTTAATAAGCGCGTAAGAGTGAAATGTAGTAACTCTTCATGGTTGGAAATAGGGTGCACGCGATGTTTCGATTATGATCATGCAGAAAGATGTAAGAAACGAATGTGCCGCTCAACTCTGTTTTGCTCGGACAGAGTGTGACCGCTCGGACGGCAAATTCCCGGCCCTCGGCGCTTGGCGTACGGATTATGTCGATCGTTCCGCTAGTCGCACTCTTCCACCGTGATTTTGGGTGGCCATTATTGAAACATCACGTGCGCCATATTTTCAGTCACCGAGAGTTACTCCGACGCACTTACTAAGTTTGTTTCTCGCGACCACCACCAGGGTATTATTTCCGGCTTCTCGTTAGCCACATTCGAATTAGTGAAGATGCCCTGGAAAACGCCCAGCCGGCTTTCAGCCAATGGCGTCTCCTCATTTGCCACTTATACTTCCCAACGAATGGCCATATACTCTCTATATATAAGGCTTTGCCTCTATCCATCGCGTCACCGGGGGAAAAAAAGATGGATGGATGGACGAATAAAGCCGGGTGGTGGCTTGCGCCACCTAACTGTAGCTTCGACGACAAATATTCATCTTTCCTTCGACTAAAGCCGCAGTCATATAAACAACCTCCCTTGCTTCGTAATCTCCGCTTCCCGTACGTGTGTTTTTCTCCCTTGCTGTTTTTAAACTCTCGTACTTTTATTACCGTAGCCTTGCCTTCAGCAGCTAAGGAGTGTATAACATTACAATAAAGAAATATGTCCTCAGCCTTCGTACATTCACCTCCGCAAGCTTCCCGCGTTCTTTCAAAACAAGGTAGCGTTTGAAAAAAAAACCTAGGGAAAAAAATCTCCTAAACTGACATGCATATTCTCTCTGCACACCATGTGCTTCACCCTCTGTCAATTCTGCAGCCTCTCCCTTTGCGCAGGCGAGCTCGAACAAATTCCGTTTTCTAGCCAAAAGTAAAACTTCAAAATAAAACAACTATTTTAAATTACACGACGTAAGTGCAGTTTTTCTTTCTTTTTTTTATGTGAAGGTTTTGCGGATTAAGTTCTTGACTTGAGGAAGTGTGCGCTGGTGTTGCGTGAAAAACTTAACTCCTCAGAATGGCGCGCATGTTTTTTTTCCTCAGTACAGAAGCAGGAAAGACGTGACACAACGTTTTGGTACGATATTGTTACGCTAAATTTATCAACTAGCCTCTGCATAAGTGTGCTCAACGTCGAAAACATAGAGCCATTACGCCATTGTATCTTTTCAACGCATGTTCTGCAAAAGCTTTGCCTCTACATCATTCGCATTCTCTCCTCCTCCAAGTTCATCGAGTTGACGAACGTTTTCTTTGGAGTGGTATTCAGAAAATTTCCTTCTGTAGCTGACGTTAGCAACAACCGATCTCATTGTTCCTTTTCTACGAAAAAATAAGAATAACTCATCGTAAGACTCTTAAAGATATCGACGTGTTTTTTTTTGTGTGTGTTTTTTTTAATTTCTTTTCCTGAAAAGCCATTTGGTCGTGGGTTTCTTTAAGGACGATTTAAAGCCCTTCAGAATAAACTCATGTAGTAACTCGGAGAATCAACTTGCGATATCGATTCTGCGCCTGCCGCTAGGCGTGCTCTGGTAGGCGTTCTGAAGACCTTTAAATTGCCCATAACACAGAAATATAACCACGGTGTTATTTGAAATCTAACACGCGTGTCAAGGTGGGTATTTCGATTTGCCTCAAAAAATATATGTGTTGCACCACTTGCGGAAAGCAATGTGAGACTCTTCATTACGGCTGCTTGTGTTTTGTGCCCAGTTCTGTCGGTCGTATTAAAGAAGTAAAAACGAAAAACAAACTTACTATATATATATTATAGAAATGTGTTATGCGCAACATATTTTCATGTTTAAATGAAACTTTGTTCTTGTATAATTAAAAAAAAAAAAAGTTAAATATTGTTTCTCGGACGTTTTGGGGATATATTTGGAGCCCTGTATCTCGGGATTAATCACAAATAATGCTTACAATATACTGTACACCTGCAACCTGCAGTCCACTAGAAGAGCTATCGAATGGTTTAGTTTATATTTTTATGTAATTTATATATATATGTATGTATGTATATGTGTGTGTGTGTGCGTGTGCGTGTATGTGTTTTTTCATCGAACATTAAATTTAGCTGTATGTTAAGCTTCCTTAAAAAAAAAGAACTTTTTTTGCTTTTTTTTTTTTTTTTTGTGTGTGATGTTACTTATTTTTTGGCATAATCAAAGTTCCCTCTTTTTCGTTATATTTTTCTGTAGAAGGTACGAGACATACATCCACGGACCCGAATCCACAAAATGGTAGTTTCGCAAGTTGGCCTTACTGCGAGGCTTTTTAGGCCCGAAAAAGCTAGGGGCACTGGCCTCACAAGCGTTCGGGAAGTGAAAAGGCGGCGGGAGCTGGCCATGGGAGGGGGAGAGGAGCGTGTTGTGTGGACGTGTTGCCATTAGGGAAAGAAATGTCTGCCCCGACCCCCCTGCGTGCGTTTTTTTTTTTCTTGTTTTTTCTCTTTTTTACGCGCTAAATATGAGTTGTTTTTTTAATTAATAATATCATTAAGGATGAGCGTCATGAACGATCGACACGCAGGGAGTGTTGCCACTGACCTGCGCAGCCTATCATCCCTAGAAGGATTGGGCGCCGGCAGAATGTATCGACGAGAATGGTGTGCCGTCATACAATGTGTCCGCTCATCACATTGATGCCACGCATCGTGCAAGAGCCATGCAAGAGCAGTGCGGAGCGCTCGGGCGCTTAGTATCGCACTAAACATCAATGGTGCTCAAAAATAAGAAAAACTACGACAAACCACACACAGACTGTGGTTCGTCCAAGTGTCTCAAGCCTATGTAGCGAGCGGGACAGATTCTGACCTCCCTGCATGGTCTTTGTCGGCTAATCAAGCGAACCAGCTTTTTTTGTTGTTGTTTTTTTAATCTGATTTAGGACACTTCAGTAAGTGTTCATATCGTTGTTTATTTCAGATTAGTATACTAGTATATAATATGTTTGTATCTCTTGCCTTGCTTGTGTTTCTTTTTCGCGTTTTTTTTTTTTTTTTTTTGTCTTTTCGCTTGAGTTTTGTTTTATCAATGGTCGACCTACAGAGAAGGTATATTAAAAGTAGCGTTCTCGCTCTGAGAACCATCTCAACGTGGATCTGCTGAGGCCACCCTAGTCCCCTCACAGCGCTGCTGCGATGAGGGACCCTGACATACTCCGACAATATTGCTTCGCACGCATGAGTGAACAACTTTCCGCGTCCTATGCCAGCGAGTCGAGCTGAAATTCGTCCCAACTTAGTGCCGCTTCTGAGCATCATGTGCTCACAGAATTCGAGGAAGGAGTTCCTGGCGGCAGTCTAAAGACTACTTTACGAAGATTTTGGTTAGCGAAAAGCTTAAAATTTAGACAGCCAAAGCCGTAAAGAAAGCTGGGCAAACAAGAAGCGGTATCCGGTTGAATATATTAAAAAAAAAAAAAGAAATTAGCCACTGCCTATTAGGTCAATTCAAGGAACTGAAACTTCCCAGTTTACTGTTTCTGCTTCTCGTGTGGTGATTGGTGGATCAACGTGTGTCAAGTTGTTGTCAAGGCAGTGTGATACTTACTCATGTCAGCGTTACGTGAACTGAGGCGGAAAGATTTTTTGAAGCATCAAAATTAGGGCTGGGCGTCGATATAAAATTTTAACCCGAACAATCGGCACCCTGTAATCGAATAATCGGTTTCGCTGTTTTCCATGCATAATATATTATCAAGGAAAAATTTACACTTCCTGCTTTTGCGGATTTTTTTTTTTATTATGTAATAAACGACGCAAGCTATATATTTTCAATTTCAGCTTTGATGTGGTTTTGAGAAGAGTCCAAAAAGACTTCCAGCCTATTTTTCCACTTGTGGATGCAGACAGGTTGCTTGATATTTTCCGGCAGGAATGAGCTCATTTGCTTGTTCACAAAAGTCACAGCTGCGCTAAACAGTCACTCGCTTGGTTGTGAAGTGACCGTGTGAGATATAATATCTCCTTGCTGTGTGTTGCAAAAGTCGCCCCTGCAGCGTACATTACATTTACATTTCACCTAAAGTTTCCCCTTCATATTGGTGTACTCCTCGAGTTCGTGAAATGTCTGATACTGAAGCAAGTAAGAGTGGCGAAGGATACGCCGCGCCCCTTCCCTCTCAAGGAACTCATTAGCTAAAATTGGGCGTTGCTCATGTGTCCTCGACCAAACCGACTCCAAATGAGGACACACGTTAAGGGAATCAAACGTTTCGCCTCCCGTACGGGAGACATCTTCAGTAAGTGCAGCAGCAGTGCTGCTGTACTTATTGCATTTATTTAATGTTATGTCAAATTTATGTCCTTATTTATATTATGACGTCTCCCGGCTTTTGGAGTATTTTTTTGCATGAAACCACCTTTAAGCATTTTATTCTTTAATCCCAGAAATCAAACGCAAACTCAACTTTCGCCATTTCGTTTTCCTTTCTCCTTCACGCAGAAATTACCGCTGAACCCAAGGTCGCGGCATGTGAAGCATGTCCAACTCGGAACGGAGCGCCGGAGGCAGCAACGTTACCATGAAGCGGTGTCACACGTTCTGCATGCGGGTGAGCATGCTAATCGCCCTGGTGGCCGTTCTCCTCGGCGCCATGTGCCTCATCATGCTGCGCTTCCCGGAGAAAGATGTCCATATGGCATCCACGGACATGCGACTAGTCGAGGCCGTCTCCAACGTGTGGTGCGGCGGTCAGGAGTTCGTGTCCGCACATCCCTTCAGCGTGTACAGAGTCAACGACCTCCCGCCCGCGGTACCAGTTAACCACGTTCATCACTCCATTGACCTGTCCGCCAGCGTGCCTTCCGGAAAGTTTCATTACCTGCGTTACTATCTGCTCCCCGGCTCTAACGTGACAGCTGACGTGGTAGCCGACGCTCCAGGGGGAACCATCCACGCAGTCAGGGGAGAGGAAGAACTTCAGCGCTGCGTCCGAACTTTCCAGGAACAGGAAGACTCCGAAGATAATGACGACGACAACAGCTCTGAGGAAGACGACTATGCGGTGGGTCCCATCGGCAGTGGGAGACGTCTCCCCGCCTTTTATCGGTGGGCCATGAAGTCAAAGAAGATTATCCCATCAGATGTCTTGTCCCGGCAAGCGTCATCCCCCGGTCTTATTCTCGAGACGGCGAGACTTACGTTCAAGGCCACAGCGGCTGACCTTTACTACGTGTTGCTCGTGAACGAGAACAGGTCTTCCTCATCAGTGGTGAACTTCGGCATCCGTTTGGACCTGAACAGGACCGTCTTCGGCGTGAGTCCGCAAGATGTTGTCTGTCTCGAGCAGACCCACTGTGTGTACCACGTTCACTTCGGTGCAGAAGACAGACTCATCCTCCACGTTCCTCGTGAAAGAGACGCCGGCAACGCTGTTTTCACCATCACGACGTCGTGTAGACCCAGGGTCTTCTTCTATGCCCTCCTCTTCATCCTCATCCCGATCCTCTTCCTGGTCTTCCTGGGAGCCGTCATCCGGGCCTTCAGCTACTTGGCCAACTCGTCGAGCGAAGAAGGCAAGTACCTCAGGTTCCGGCTGTTTAGAGACGATGAGAGAACCAGGAGCCGGCAAACGAGGCCGCAGGACCTCGTGGTTTCTCAGCTGCCGGGGGAAGCGGAAGCCGGTGGTGATCCGGCGGCAGCGGCTGAACATTTCCTGGTGTACCATGTACCCGGTATGGATCCTCCGCCGAGGACGCCGCCACCCTGTTACTCATCGCTGCAACTGGAAGGCGGCGAAAGTCCCGAAGACGAATCTCTTCTGCCCAGCACCGCCACTGCCGAAGCTAGCGCACCCCCTCTTCAGCCGCCGCGTTATTCCGACATCCTTAGGCAGGAGGAACAGCGATCTTCAACTTCAGCTGCTGAAGAAAGGACACTCGATGCTGACGCAGGAGCCTCGATTACCCGGGATGTGGACCGAGCTTCTGTTCCTGTCTAGTTATTAGAGCATGTTATGTCTATGTGCCAAGGGACATCGTTCGCTTGGTCGTACTATCTTGTTGGTGGAACAGCAGCTCTATGGTTCTTTCTGTGAATCAGACTTTGGAAACTGTTCTGCTGGAACTGCGAGCCCGACAGAGTGAGCTGTGTGGAGTTAAAACAAGAAATGAAGGGCCACGCAGAAGTAGGCTTTACAAACTGCCGTAGTTAAATTGTTTGTCCGCGAGTGAACTTTTCAGTAGCCTTGAAGACTGGCTCCGACAAAGTGTACCAGTCTCAAAATGCTAGGATGTGTCTTCAGTGGTTCATGGAACACTAGCAGAAACCACGCGTCATGCGTTCATGTTACCGTTATGCTCTCGATGTTTCTGTTGGATGGGCAGAAATTGCAAGTTAATGATGTCTGGTGTCTTTCAGATTGAGTGTCCTTATGCTTTGCAGCATAACTCAGACCTATGTTGTCACGCAGTGCATTGAACAGGAAGCGACACAAAGAAGCAGTGAGCAACCTCCAGTTGCTACAAATTTGTACAGAGAACGAGAAAGAGAGAGAGAAAAAGTAGGCTCGTGACGCCAAACTAGAGGCATCGCGAAGTAGGTAACAGAAAACTGAATGGGCCTTGGAGGGTAGAGGTTCCTTTGGCGGTGTATTGTGGTACTGCTCTGTGTATGGCTTCCCGCTTCGTTCATTGGTGATGTTCCCCCGAACCGTATAACTCTGTGGATGACTAAATAAAACCAAGAAATAGGGGGTCATAAGTATCACAAATTAGTCATATGCCAGCAGCAACGGAAAGTTTCCCATGGGGGCAGATAAATGCTGCTCCGAACTACCGCGGGATACTTTTATTGTTACTACAAGAAATTGAACAAAACCTGGATATAAGAGTTATATGGCAAATATTTCATATCGTATGATGTAAAGTGTCCATGCTTAACATCTCTGTCCCTTTACGATGCAAACCATTCGAAGATAATAATGTGAATAAATGTTATCCCGATCTTGTATTGTTTATTCTAAGTCTCGATTCGAGTCGTCTAAACGGAGAAACAACTCAGTTCCAGCATCCGCTAACGGGCCAGCGAAGTTCGACATCTTCACACTCCAGACACCGTCTCAACTGCCAGGCAGAAAGAGTTACGCTCCTGGCTTCAGCTCAATGGACGGCACATGTCTCTGTGCACCGCCGACGACAATGATTGCTTGTAACTCGATTCTAACTCGCCCCTGCCGCATCTTTTTTGTATGCATGTTTTTCCCCTCGTCGGTTGGTCGTTGAGCGCTGATGGTGTCAAGCGACAGAGGCAATATACGCAGGCTACGCTCAAGTGATTCCCCATTTCGGTTCGAGAGCAGCACCAACCACCAGCAGATGCCAAGGGCAAGGGTGCATAATGGTCATCTATAACTGTCTGCGGAGATAACTAGACACTCTTCCGCTTTGAGCAATTTATGTTATTCATTTTGCACGTCATATTGCCTAAGTTCGCAAGTATACAAACAGTTCCTGTGGGGTCAGGGTTTAGGGTTCTTTTGAATAGAGCGCCTGGTTGCGTAGCGTAACCGAGGAACCAAGTGAACCGTAACTTCCCCCATCTGCAGAGTATAGAGCTAACAAGCCAACAGCTTTTGCTATATATATCTATATTTGTTTAGCAATGCTTGTTGCTTGTTCGCTTAGTATGACTTGTCTTGTCTATAGATATAGACGTTTTCGGCAATGCATGACTGACTTTGGGCAGGGTGCACATTAAGCAAAATGTATTTAAAATGTTAATTTTCTTTACAGGGGGAAGTGTGCTAGTTTAAGAACCACGTGAAGCCTGTCTCGGTCGTGTAACTGTATCAGATGAACTGTCGATATTACCATCAACAAACACCTATCTCCGTCCTCGAACTAAAAGATCACTTCCGTGTCCCTTTCACCCAAACTAGATCTGCCGACACAATGTAATAAGGGACCTCTTTTCAAGAAGAGTTCTGCGCACGTGCGGGTTCTCCTCACGGTTGGCGTCCAGAAGGAGATTTGCGCTACATTTTCTGAATCTTCTGCCGCGACTCATCGAATCGCGGAGGACGCTGAAGACGTAGCGAAACTCCCCTGCCGGACACCAATCGCAGTTCAAGCTTTCGCCGCTTGGTGTCATCTTTGTGTGAAAAAGGTCCAAATTCCCGCCAAACTGAAAGATGTCCCACGCGGATGCCGTTCTCTGTGGTGGATACCTCGCAGAAGGGACGAGGTGGCCCAGCTTATCAGGTATATCTCTAAGAAATTTTGTTGACTGGTCCATGTGACTTCCCAGCCAGACCTGTCCGTCCGGCTACAGCGAAGGCTCGTTCTTGAACGCCGGCTGCTCGTCATGCCTGCCTCACGAACGCGACGTTCCGGGGCCGTTCTATGTGATTACCCTCGGACGTCCGGTTGCGGAACCATCTGGGAAGACGAGGTGGTGTTGTCCGCCTTCTTAAGTCCAGATCCGCCCGGGTTTAAACGAGCGAGCTTGTCAATCGAGAGGCAGAACTCAATGATCGAACGCTATCCGCTTCCTTGTTTCGTTTCGGGGAACGACGAGGAGCATTTTTTAAACAACTCTGGAACCGTCCGCCCGTTCGGGCTTGTCGTTCATATTTGAAGTTGCGTAAAGACCTTGTCAGACTGAGGCAACTCTATCCGGCAACACGAGGAAATCGAGTTGCCGGCGACCCTGTCACATGGCGGCAACAAAAACAGTCGGGCAACGTGTTGCTTGTTGCTGTCCGACAACCCTGATACACCGCGCTGATGGCGGGGACAACACGGAACACTCCGCCATCTTGATTGTTTGACTTCCTTGGTGTGCGGCGTGTAGTCGCTGGAAATGTGACTCTACAAAGTGCTAGTGCGTTCGAAGAACCGGAAATTATCACGAGATGACATCAACCAGTAACTGTGATTGGAAAACTTGACACGGGGAGTATTTTCCATCCTTTATTTTATCAAAATGTTCTTCATTCGCTGATCAAGCAGTTAGCCCAAACCGAGGAAAACCGTATGAAGTGTTTCTGTCCGGTTCTTTCCTTTGCGCAATTCCTATTTCTACTGTAAAATTGAGTTAGCACCGGCAGTACACCAAAGTTTAGTCTTTTTGTTTTTGTTTTGTGTTTTTGTTTTTTGTAGCGTGGTGTTGAGTCGAACTGACAGTGCTTAAAAACTGCGACACCGACACGATCAGCCGTCACAAGAATCGGTTGAATAAATATTCCTCAACGCCGTCTGTTCCTCAACGCTGTCTATGTGATCACTTCGTTCCTCAAAACGTTCCTTCCTCAAAATCAGGTGTCTGGTAGCGACTGTTTCCAAGTTCCAAGCGTCAACAATCGTGATCAGAGTGGTTGTTTTAATGCTTAAATATTTAATCTTTGCTTTCCTGCATTATTTTTATTATACTTTATCAGGTGAGTAGGCATGCCATTTTATTTCAGTAGCAGTAATGTGAGCTGGTTTCTCGGCAGTTCTAATTTCAACACCAGTCTGAACGTTCACGACCGTAGCTGTGAGCTGTGACCATTTCAACAATCGCTTTCCATAATTGCGCAGTAAAAATATTCATCAAATTATTTTATCTGTACGCCAGCCTTAATTATTGTTAAATAACGTTTTCGAAGCCTTTATTTGAACAAGACGTCATTAATAAGGAACTAGCTCTGCCATCGAAGCAATCTCAGTTGTCGTGTTGCCGGCCCGAAATTCGCTCGGCCAGCGATCAGGGCAACACACGTTGTCCAACACAAGTTGCCGCTGTTTTTGTTGCCGAAAGCTGTCATACCGAGGCAATGTTTTAGTTGTCGTCCATGTTGTCCTGCTGTTGCCGCGATGTGACAGGTTTGTCGGACAACACGGGGAGCGAGCAACAAGTTGCGCGACTGACGGACAACGTGTTGTGTTGCTGTTGCCGCCGTGTTGCCTCAGTGTGACAGGGCCTATAGTCATGAACCTCCACGATGTCGCTCGTTAGAGGAGAACGAAACATACGGAAGGAACACAAAAATTAGCGCGGTTAGGTTCCAGCCAAACTATTCGTATGAGTGTTGCCGCTTTGCAATAGGGGCAATGTAAAGCGGCCATAGTCACAATGTTCGCATATCATAAAAAAAGACACGGTTTTCGCTGCAAACATGACAAAATAGTCATATGAGGACACGTGTCAAGCATGTTTGAAGCACGTTTGTTTCATGCATATGCATGCTTCGAACATATTTGCAAGCAGTTTTTGATGATCGATGTGGCAAGGCCGTCATACAAGGAATAAATACGCCTCAGGTAGTGTATGCAGACTGTCTTTTGTATAATAGGTATTGACCATGGGATCGCGGCTCATACGGCACAGTGCGACAGTTAAGCTGTGATTTTTAACGTACGCCACGCAACAGTGCATTTCGGGGGTGCATGCTGGAAAGGTAGAGAGATTATTATAACGTGTTGCGAAGGAGGGAAACTCAGGGAAACATCTTCGACCGAACCGAGCATTCTACTGGCTCCGTGATTTCAGCGTGGCAGTCGTTTTGGTTTCTGTCAAGTGTAGTCGTTTGCGCAAAATGCGGGCAAAGGCTGGTCTCTAAGATAATGTCTTAGAGATGCAACCACACGGTGGAGCCCGTGTACGGACACTTTGAGCCGTAAACACACACACACACGCCCCCGTGCGCACGCACACACACACACACACGCACACAAACACGTACGCGCGCGTGTTTGTGTGTGTGTGTGCGCGCACGCACGGACGCACACACGCAAAGACTTATGAACGTACCCTGCTTCAAATCGCATGCCCACGACTTAACTATAATATTGTCCTAATGTTTCCGGTACCTGGTAGCGTACTTTTAAAACGCCGGGTATTAATTCTATTGAGTGTATACAAATGCCGCCAAGGTTTCCCACAACAAAATAATCCCAATACAAAAAAAAAAAAAAAAAAAAAGCCGCCGACACTTGCGACAGAGCAACAGGAGCGCACGCTGTGCGATTGCGGGATGACGACAATCGGGTAAGTCCAATACACCTATATAAAGGCCAAGGCTTTGCGCCTTCCCCCCTCCCCTCTACACACACACACACGCACACGTCATCCCTTGTTGACTGACACCGCCGCGCCCACCTTGCGCCTCGCACGCGAACGTTCACGTCGTGCACGGGCCTTGTCTTATGTATGGTATTGGTAAGTCAGAATATTCAGCGCCTAACACTATGCTTGGGCACGCGAGCATCATTTTGATGCAGCATATATAGCCACCCCGTGCTGCTTGCTTTAGAGGTAGAGTGGCAAGTATAGGTTTCTCGAGTATACACCGCGGAGCAGCATTTCAAAGAAAATGGCGAGCGAGCGCCTGGCCCGAGTTGTCAAGACGACGTTGGTCTGTCAGAGAACGCGCTCGTCACGCGATACACGTCTGGCGCGGTCGCAGAACCATGATCGTGTCGGTACTTGTAAGAAACGCGAAGCGTATATCCGCCCCATGCGGTTTGCGATGAAAAAGCTCCCAAGAGTGCCGTTCGCAGCCTCCCTGCCAGCGCCGAGAAAACTTCCTTGTGATATATACTCCAATTTTCCTGCCAGAGCCAAAAAGTGCGTCGTCATGACACACGTCGTCTTTGTGCGTTTTCTATCGCCGGCTAAACCAATCACGCACAGAGAATGCGGCGTGATCCTGGGCTTTTTTTATGTGCGCATGATTGGTTGTGTTGGCATAACCACAAAGACGCCGTGAACGCATCGTTTGTCATTCGTGACAGCCCATGAAGCGTACCCCTCCGATGCCTTGCAGCGCAAGCCCAATCCCCCGCTCAAGAGGACCATCCGCAGAGACTACCGAGACCCGAAGAAGCCGCCGCACCCAAGGCCTACCCCCAGAATTTGGAATTTTGCCACCCAAGACGAAGCAGCCAACGAGGCCGACGATGGACAACCAATTGCCGCAGAACCCGGCCACCGCCGCCGTCGGATATCTACCCGACGCACCCCTGACTCCGACGC